TATACCAAAAAAGTTTAACGTTTACCTACTGGGCTCCTAAGTAATGTGCTATACCTGAGGTTAAAGATCACACCTAAACCTACACCTAAACCTAAACCTAAACCTAAACACTAAACCCTAAACCCTAAACCCTAAACCCTAAACCTAAGAAACCTAAACCCCTAAAGCCCTAACCCGTAACCCTAAACCCAAACCCTAAAACCTAAACCCTAAACCCTAAACCTAAGAAACCTAAACCCCTAAAACCCTAACCCCTAAACCCTAAACCTAAGAAACCTGAGAAACCTAAACCCCGAAGCACTCAACTCGAAACTTGAAGAGCCTGGGAGAAAAGGCATGCTTGAACTTACCGTCGATGCTGAACTCGCCATCCAAACCTCGATGGGGGGTGAACTTCGCGATTTAGGGTTGAGGTTTTTGGTAGTTGGGTTTAGGGTTTAGGGCTTAGGAGGTTTAGGGTAGTTTAATGTTAGGTTGCATAAATCCAAAAGGTTCAAGGCTCCAAACCCAGTTGATAAGTCAGTATGGAGAATGCACGATCTTTTCCGCCAGACCTTCGACCCTTAAAGCTACCCGAAATTCTTAAGGTTTAGGGTTTAGGGTTTAGGGTTTATAATTAGCCCTGAACCGGTGGGTCCTAGACCCTCAAACCCTAAACCATTAGGTCCCAAACCCTACAAAACCCTGAACTGTACCTACTTGGAGGATCATGGGCCTTAATTGGGTTATAAGTATAGTTAGGGTTTAGGGTTTAGGGTTTAGGGTTTAGGGTTTAGGGTTTAGGGTTTAGGGTTTAGGGTTAGTATAGTTACCCTAATTATAACCCTACTTACTAAGTCCCATGATCCTCTAAGTACAGTACCCGCCAGTAAGAAACAGCCAATGCCCTGCGAGACACCCAAGCGCCTCAGAGGATCCGCAACAAACCCCTCACTAGTCTAGTGTTTAGGCTTAGGGTTTAGGGTTTAGGGGTGCTTGGCAAGAAAGGTACGTGGACCCTTACGCTTGGGTTCTTGGCATCGTCGCGGTAAGGTCTGCAGCGGAAGAAACCCCAAAACTCCTTGAACACGACCCTCAGCTACTACAGCCCAAACCCCCCCACCTCCGCCCCAACCCCCCTCCCCTTCCAAGAAACACGCAAAAGAACACAACACAAAAAAACCAACAAAACTCACCCACAACCCAAAACCCTAATCCCGGCATCAAAGAAGGACTGAAAAACAACTGAGGCCTAAACCCAAAGCCCATCCCCCTTTCCTCCAACACCAAAAACACAGCACAACAACGCCAAAACACTTTCATCCCTGAGATACCCAACACCCCAAACCCTCAACCGCAACCCCCATCCCCAAAGCAAAGAAGGACACAATAAACTGAAGAAACCCTAACCCCTAAACCCTAAAACCCTAAAACCCTAAATCCCTAAACCCTGAAACCCTAAACCCTAAACCCTAAAACACTAAAACAAGGACACAATAAACTGAAGGGCGGCTTAGTGGCTACCAGCAGCCTGCCCCGGCCCTGCCGATCCCATCTCGACAGAGGACTCCTCGATGGCAGTGCGCTTAAACGGTGTGGGGCAGGGTTTAGGGTTTAGGGTTTAGGGGTTTTGGGGGATTAAGGAGCGGTACAGGGTTTAGGGTTTGGGGTGAAGGGTTTCCTAAACCCTAAACCCTAAACCCTAAACCCTAAACCCTAAACCCTAAACCCTATGGGATTTAGGAAGGTTTAGGGTTTCGGGCTTAGAGTCCCCAGAACGAAAATTTCGACAGACGGAGGTTCCATCCGCTCACGAACGTACACAAAAGGGTAGTTCTCCAAATTAAGGTCCCTTTTTAGCTCCCCATTATAGTACGGCACCCTTATGAAAAGTTCGGGCTTTCGTTGATGTATTCGGGGCTTACATGTTTTTCTCCGTAATTTGGGCTTTGTAGTGTCTAGGCTCTTAGGATGTGAAGCCTTGCGTTCTATGCGGCTTTCTACAGACTAGGCCCCCCTGGTCTGCTATTTCAAGAGACCCGGGGCGTCAGAAAGTCGGAGTTTGGGGATTCGGTCGGCTCTCCGATTGCTTGTGACTCATTTTTGGCATGCTAAAGTTATTTAGGGGTTTAGGGTTTAGG